CAACTATCCATGACAATCGTGGGAGTTGTCTTTAAGAAAGAAAAAATTTTCTTAACAGGTTTTTGACCATTTCATTCGTTTTTTCGCCAACTTAAGCACTCTGCTAGCACTCCAGACCCAGCACCAAATTATCGTGCCATGTGCCTTTAATCTTCATTTGAATCCTAACAGCCTTTTCGCTGGCTGCAAAACTAATTTACGGTCTCTCATACGTTCTTGTATTCTAGGGGCTGACCTCAAAGAACGTAAATCAATGCCTGTGGAGGACGTGCCCAAATTTGTAGACTCATTGCGATCATCTTTCAGTGAGGTACGCCAATTCTCAAACGGTTCCAGTATCGCAGAGTCTGTGCACTCACCTTCACAGAGCTGTTCCCTTGCCATTTGTGAGGTGGTTGGGTCTGCAGTTGCCGTGCCACCTCCTCCGCTCAAAAGAGTACGGGAACGGGGTGGAGGGTAACGATACTCAAAAGCCGTGTCTATACTACGCTCGCGTTGCCGCACAACCAGCCATCCGCCTAACCATAGCTGAACGCGCTGCTTCTCTGCGCTCTCTTACTTCTGATATTATCTGCGGCTGGGTGCGTGTTTCGCTGCTGGACTTTGGTAGCGACGCAAGTGCTGCACTTGAAGATAGCGCGGGCGGAGGATGGAGATGGCACCCGGATACCACTACCCTCCGACCCTGCCATGCACTGTTGAGCGGAGCAATCGTCACACTACCGCAACTACGTACCCACGCACCTCACAAATGGCAAGTAAATGATCCGCGGATGTGAATGCTTAGTTTGTCCTTAAGTTGGTCGTTTTCTTCAGCTGGAGTTCCTCCCTCAACCCGTGATCGCGGCAATTGATGGCTATGCTCTCGGTGGTGGTCTGGAAATGGCTCTGGCTTGTGATATACGAGTTGCCTGTAAGGATAAAGAAAAATTGCTTGTGCATCCACTTGTCCTTGTAGACTTCATGTATGTCTTGGGTGCATCAGGAATTGTCAACCTCAGCTTCGCTTGCAGTAGCCCAGCTAGATAAATAATGTAAAAAGTTCTTTCAGCAAGTAGTGCCAAAATTGGATTGACCGAGACGAGATTGGCAATCATTCCCGGAGCAGGTAATTGTTCCATTTCTCTTAGTTGAACTGATTTCAATTCCTAAACTTTTTATCCTTCGTTCAGGAGGTACGCAACGACTCACTCGGGCTGTCGGGCCGTCAATGGCAAAAGAACTTATATTCACTGGGCGAATGATCAGCGGTGAAGAAGCATGCAGAATAGGTTTGGTAAATCACTGCACGAAGTCAGACGCCTTCTCGAAGGCCATGGAAATCGCCCGAGAAATCGTTCCCAGGGTAGGCTTGTAGTTAATTGTTGTTCGGTTTTCACGTCATACTTTCCTGAACCACATAAGAGCAGAAGAAGTTTGAAGTCTTTGCTTCAAATAGACCCTTCACGGGATGCGGCACGCATTCTACCTCCGAAATCGTAGTGGCTTGCTGCATGTGATGTGGCCTATATAAGATGTGACCCTGTGTTTTGCGGGGGCCAGCCAATATAAAAGTCAGCTTTGTTATCCTTCGGGACGATACTGGTACCAATTTACTGTCCTTGGAGGGTAGAAAGCCTCGTTTACTTGGGAGAAAGTCAATCCGGAATTTGACCCTGGTCGGCGGCCTCGTAAACGTGACACTCTCCATTACACCACCTCCGCCTCATTAAATCACTAATGCAGAGTAACGCAAGTATTCCTCTTTTCGACGACTTTTGCGTCCATCTACAGAAGTAATCATCAAATCGGCGAATAAAATTACCTTGAAGGTATTTCTTTGACTTCCACCCCCCCCCTGTAATACCTTCTCTCATTTCCATTTTCCCATCTTTCTGTTACAGGGTTTGTCTCTATTTCTTGCTTCTATTTGTCCTTCGCAATCATTTTCCAGAACAGCAAGCGTGGTACTATCAGATAAAATTCATATTTTGTGGTCCGGGAATAGGAGACTAGAAGAGCGCGCGCCAAAGGAAAGCATAAGCATCGAACCGGCGATTAGGGATAATCCTAGAATGCGCGTCAAAGGGGTAGTGAATGGCCATTTATGGTTCCGTTTTCCCTATGCAGACGGAGTCGATCGATTTTCTATCTTCTCTTTATGGATTCTCCTAACCTCCTATTCCCCTGATTCGCCACATAGATACTTATGTTTCCTTCCACTTGTATGCCCGTTCATTCTTGGGTTTACTTCAGGTTTAGAATAGACAACTTTAGGGCATTGACAACCTTTTGAATTTCGTGCTTCACTACCCATCTTGATTTCGTTACTATTTCCGCATGTGCAGACTGACCCGTCATTATTACAAGCAACCCGTTTTCTTTTAATCTAGCTACCAGCAACTGCATGGCACGCTTACTACACGCACTGTCAAGAGTAAATTTTGGACCGGCTTCCGCGCAGGCCAGCTAAGGCTTTCCCTGCGGGGCGGTAAATTGTAGGAACACGCTTGCACATCGGCTGGCCCCATCAAGTCATTGCATAAGCCACAACGCATTCACAGAGCCACTACGATTATTGGGAGGTAGAATGCGTGCTTGCATCTCTAAAAGGGATCAGCTGATCAACTTCATCCCTTCGTTGGAACAGAGCAGAATCAAGTAGTACACAATCGGCACAGTACGGAATCGAATAGTTTCTTTCTTGTACTTTTTTGAGCCTGTCACAAAACACTCAGCTCTACAGTAATCAAACCTTGCTAGCGCCAAAAGAATCGTTTTACAAAGTGAAGGTCTTCTTCCCTTCAGGGTCCTCTAGCTGTTCGCCTTGCCAAGATAGCAATCGACACTGGATCAGGAATGGATTTGAGTAGTGGCCTTGTTGTAGAACAGCAGTGCTATGCCCAGGTGAGAAGCTTTTTCTAACGAGTGGTCTTTCCTTCATGACATTATATTGTTCCATTATTTTTCCTGTGTTTGCTTTGGACTGCCATCTCAGTCGAGGGATGATATCAATTTAGAACATCCGTGTTTTAGGTGATACCCACACAGGATCGACGTCGAGAGGTTTTGCGGGCCTTGGTGCGAGAAACGGTCCCCTGTTTAACAAAGGAGAGTGAGAGTTGCTGACGTTCTAGAGACAGACTGATGTATAACTCTTGTCATGTTTCAAGTTTCACTTCAATAGTCATGATTAATGCTCAAACCGTGTATAATTTCCTAGGATGAAATAAAATATTCTATCTACGATGTGCGTTCCTTGATGAGAGGTATGTCACCAGCTTCTGTCTCGCTTTTCGTATTCGTTGCTTTGCTTTGTGAGAAATAGATTAGGTGTTATGTGCAGCAATGCGGCTGTCGGTTCTGCGGTTCAAATGGGACGTTCATGGTTTCCGTAGCGCTGTCTCGTCCACAAGTTAGTAGGCTCCGCCATGACTGAACGATCAGGAGAGAAGGTACGGGAAACCTTAAGCGTTTTAATAGCCGCTCGATATAATAACCTGACAAGTTAGCTCTTGAAGCCCTGACTGCCAAGAACAACGTAGGTTACCGGTCTTCGTTCAGGTTTCATTCGCTGCAGATGGAAGAGGAACGGGAAAAGAGCCTGTTGTGTGATTTTGAATTGAAATCGCGACACGACGAGAAGTATGTGGTTATTTGCCTATCAATACGTTGCCCACTTTCAATAATTTGAATGTCACAGGCTTCTTGAAAAACGTGCTGAATTGGAACGTGAAGGAAAGGAGTTGTCAGAACTAGATGAACAGATGGGACTTGCCAATTCGATAATTCAAGGACGAGTGGAATAGAAAAGGAGAGAGGCAGCTGTGGGTGACAAGGTAGACTTTTCAGAGCGGTGGACACTAATTCTCATTTTCACCCTTCATTTTCCACTTCGACATTTCAGTCTTCAACTCGACAACCCCCGCTCACGTGAAGTCAACGATGAACGGTCTTTAGAACGTATGTTGGATCGAAAGCTTTTACTGATTGTTCGACAACGGTTTGGACAAGAAAATTACAAAAGTCCGTGGATCCTCCCTCAGTTGAAACATGAGTCTGGAGAGACCTTACGAGAGGTCAGTTGATTGAATATCACAATTTCAAAGATTTATACTACAGCATTGGTTAGTTGTGTAACTTTACATAGTGAATTCTTTGAGGGGGGGGTTCGCTAAGAAATGTGTTAATTCTGTCCACATATCGTCGGCTAACATCATCTGATGTCTTACGTGAAGTGCGATGCACCTAAACACATCATGTTATTGGACTGGCACCTTTTGACACTCCGCAAGCCCTCCTAGACTGTTCAGTGCTCTCTTCGAACTGGGCTTGGGGTTTCGAAACAGTTGTCGACCGCTTCTCTGTCCTCGTCTTCTTCAAACTTCCATCTAGAAAGCACTGGTTATAAGGAGGAGATCCGTAAATGTTAGCGGAATATTAAAGTATCGTAGACTTCGTGCCGTGACTCTTCACCGCACCGCAAGCTCAATTCCCAGCACCAAGCCTCCTGTTGGATTCAACTGCTGAGGCATGGCCCTTATTCATGAAATTCTAGACCTCAACCCTCACCTAGTGGCAACTTTTTTTGGATCATAGCGACTTTGCCATGTTTGAGTCTAAGTTCTCTGAACTTTGTTATCGTAGTTTGACGACATTCTCTGACATTTTTCTCATAATGAAAGATTCGTTAGTATTTTTCAAAAACTTGCTGCGAAATTTCAGACTGCCGAACGTTGCCTGAGGCAAGTAGCAGACGATATCAAAGCATCCTTCTACGGGAATGCCCCATTTGCCGTCTTCTCTCACAAGTTCGTTAATTTTGACTTGTGGCTCATCATTTGCATGACCTCGAGCTCATCGTCTTGATAGTCGTCAGAAAAAGTTTTTCTTGGAGTTTTGGATCTTTTAGAGGTTGTGATATTTAGCACTCTGCCGGAACATCGTTTTGCAGATATCCTAAGCCACTCAGCGCAGTGCGATTGGAGAAGGATGGAGCAAAAATCTTCTTTTTAAACGCCGTTCTAGATTCTAGCAGTTCGTTTGCACCGAATAAGGAAGAGGTGCGTACCGATAATTACTCCTTGAGTGCATCTGTAATGCGAATGCAGAACGTGGTCTCCCCCGTAGCTTTTCTTGCTATTCAACAGCCTGTAATTTGCAGTGGGTTCCGCAGAAACTATATAATTGCTCTTGTAAAATACCTCTCCTGCTCTATGTTTCAACGCTTTTTTTCTTGGTTTCTCATGTGGGTCTCAGTCTTCATCCATTAGAAAGCCGCTATACTGTACTTTGAACGATAACATGTTATGGGTAGCATGTCTTGCAAATGAGATGGAGTTTTTGAATAATGAGGCATCCGCTCAGCATTAAAGGTTGCGCCGAACTGACTGATGATAATAGGCAAGTATAATCGAGTTTGTGCCTTAAACCATTGAGCCGAATGGGCCGTAAACCATTGGGCCGAACGTGCCCCTTCACACGTCCAGCCGTGTGCGTCTCATTCTGTACGTCCGGGCTTTGCTTGTAGACCTTTTGTGGCGAAAAATCTCTGAACAGCGACTATTTCTAGTCCCTAATGTATCCCTCAAAAATGATAGGATTGGCGATTGATGCCAACTGGAAAGGAGATTGACGAATTCTCTTCGTCGTAACAGTCGCCGTAGTTCTGAAAGAGACTTCTAGAAGCTGTCCGAGGGATGGGGCACTTATCCTCATTATAAAAGTGAGAGTGGGATTTTGTTGGAAGCGTCTCAAGGTTTTTGGTTCAGCCTGATATCTTCGGAATGACCCTCGAACGAGCTTCATACCGGAATTGATTACATCCTTCCCACGACTCTGAATCGATTGTAACTTGATTTGGGCCGTGTGGACAGATGAAAAATTGGTGTGATTGGCACATGAGTTGTGCGAGTGAGTGTGCAGGCCGGGTGCTCATTCAAATGCGGTACGCTCCTGAAGGAATTTTCGCGCTCTCGTGGCGCATCTGATGTGCGCCTAACACCTTTCAAGCGTCGAACCTGAACACTTCAAATATACAGCTTTGTGTCCGCTGGCAGTCTTGTTCGCTGGGCAGCCGTCGAGCTGGGTTTGACAACGGAGCCAGCCGTTTCCCATCAATTGTGATCGCTTAGTCGCTCCCACAAGTTTGTGAGATCAGGGTGGCGTCGCGGCGACCAGGCCGCCCTTCGAAATGCCCCAGAATTCGCAGCAAAAACGACTGAATGTGTGGGACTTGATCAATGAAAAAAAAAACGCTAAGGAAACCACTATACGTATCACTCTGAGCATTATGTGATTTTGGCGGGGGAGGGGCATGATTTCGTTTCGCCTTCCTCCTCGCTGTTGTTCGACATAACTGGAATTCTGTTCAGCAGGAACAAATTCTGTCGTCACTTACTAGTTGATAGCGACGTCTTTTAGGTGGCTGACTACAAATGGGTTGTTCGGGAAGAGTTCTGGTCAACAGTGCCCTGTAAGAAGTACAAATTATGTGTAAATAGTATGTTTTTAGAATGACTCATATTGTTATTGCTATTGTTTTAGTTTTTGTTGATAGGTCTCATTTGTCAATTTTTCCAAAATGAATCTAAGAGTTTTTATGTGGTATCGCTCTTCTTTTCTGCTATTTGATGTAGTTATGTCGATAGTAATGTAACGAGGACGGGTTTGCTGCAACTGTTGTGCGTCTAACTATCGCAATCTACGCTCTTTCTCTGACATGGGCACATTGTTGCCTCTGTCCCTGTAGGTGCACCCTGAAATTTCTTGTAAATTAAACCTGACAGCGAAAATGTAGACTGTAGCACCTGTTCAAACAAATTCTGCGCAGGTTTCGAAATCTTAGCTAGAGTACGAGCTCTATCCGTCTTGCCGATTCACTCTCTTTACTTGCTTTCTCTTAACTTCCTATGTGATGGCCCTTATGACTGAAACCTCAACACCTAACGTGTGCAATTTTCAGGGGGAACTTGCGTATCTTGACAGATCCCTCTCAGGGGATTTTGTGTGTGAGGCCGTAGGCGCTGTGAACTATTGGGTTGGCACATAAGTACTTTCGTTTTTTTTCAACCGGAAATTTCGTTCCAAAGATGAAATGTTTTGCTAGCAAGCTTGATATCATCTGATAGGAAACTTCACGTAGTTTTAGAATATCAAAACGGCTTCGGTTGAGGGAATAATTTTTGTGGATTTTTTAGTCGTTGAAGTTGAAAGCGAAGTCGGCGAAAATTAGCACCTTCGACAACTGCCTCTATTTACGTATAGTCGAAGTGCTAAAATCGCTTAAGCTGCTCCATACATTTGGAAAAGGTCGAGCTAGAAGTTCCAGCAAGGGAATCTCAATAGGACGCTTTAGAACTAATTTCAAGAATTTCAAAGTTGGCAACCTTCACCTCGCCGATATTGGGCAGCTCACGGTCTGTTTCCACCTGAAATTTTATGCTAATATTTGAATGTTTCGCTGATATGTTTTGCATGTTCTGATAGCAAATTTCGTGCTCTATAACACTGCTATAGAAATCTGTTCTCCAGAGGTGTTTGCTTTCTGTTAAGTTCAGGTTATCATTACGGAACGCGCGAAGTCGTTGAGAACTAGCGTTCCCGTTCTCCACGAATTTTATGCTAACATTTGAATGTTTCGCTAATGTGTTCTATATGTTCTGATAGCCAATTTCGTGCTCTATAACATAACATAAAAATCAGTTTTCCGGAGCTGTTTACTTTCTGTTAAGTTCAGGTTATCTTTACGGAACGTGAGGTCGATGAGAATTAGAGTTCCCGACTTCCTCTCTCAACCGCTGTCCACTGAAGCTTCAAAGCGCCTAGCGCAGCTCAATAGAAACGCCGAATGGTTTAAGTAAAGGCTTAGAGTAACAGATTAGTGTTAGGACAGCTCTTAGCGAATTTCCCGAGCAGCATCAGCAGCTCTGATACCTCTGTTGAATGCGAAAAGGAGGAGATGTCTGAAGTGCTGATGCTTATCGACCTGACATTCCATATTATCCACCTGAAAAAAAGGTTCATCAAACGGATTTTCAAAATAACTGCAACGCAGTGTTATAGAGCACGAAATTGCCTATCAGAACATATAGAACCCATTAGCGAAACATTCAAATGTTAGCATAAAATTCGTGGAGAACGGGAACCCTAGTTCTCAACGACTTCGCGTTCCGTAATGATAACCTGAACTTAACAGAAAGCAAACACCTCTGGAGAACAGATTTCTATAGCAGTGTTATAGAGCACGAAATTTGCTATCAGAACATGCAAAACATATCAGCGAAACATTCAAATATTAGCATAAAATTTCAGGTGGAACAGACGTGAGCTGCCCAATATCGGCGAGGTGAAGGTTGCCAACTTTGAAATTCTTGAAATTAGTTCTAAAGCGTCCTATTGAGATTCTCTTGCTGGAACTTCTAGCTCGACCTTTTCCAAATGTATGGAGCAGCTTAAGCGATTTTAGCACTTCGACTATACGTAAATAGAGGCAGTTGTCGAAGGTGCTAATTTTCGCCGACTTCGCTTTCAACTTCAACGACTAAAAAATCCACAAAAATTATTCCCTCAACCAAAGCCGTTTTGATATTCTAAAACTACGTGAAGTTTCCTATCAGATGATATCAAGCTTGCTAGCAAAACATTTCATCTTTGGAACGAAATTTCCGGTTGAAAAAAAACGAAAGTACTTATGTGCCAACCCAATATATTCAGATTCGCAATAAGATTCCGAGGATGGAAACACTACTAAAGGCAATCCGGGCCAGGCACAGGCGCGAAATTTACCACCAAGGAATTGTTTGTCAAACCGAGCGAGAACTTGAGTAGTTGATGCGGCACACTTTAACATCAAACTTCCAGCAGCATGGTTACATCCTTCTTCCAGTCAACTGGACCTGACGAACCAGTTGCTGGAAGAAGGAGGAGATCCTGAACCGAATGTGGCGCCACGACCGCAAAAGGAAGTCTTATCAAGGTCAACATGATTGGACATGAGGAGCATGTGCTTTCTTTCACTGTTGCGTCGTGCGCGAATACTTCTACATACCTCAAAGACAAACCTGAAACACCAGTTCTAGAGCAAGGTTCAGTGTATGGCCATAGGATCTAAGCTCCTCACATAAAGATACATTTTTTAAGGCAGCGGCCGTGTTTTCTTTTGTTGTTCCCACGCCCTCGTTGGATATCGTACCTCATCCTATGAGAATAGTGGACGTACGGTTGACCGGAAAGTTTCCCGCCATTGAATTGGTGAGGAATCCAACGGCCAAGCTTTGCGACTTTACCAATCTTCTCCAGCCCAGATTCAACAGTTGATTGGGCATGGCCGAGCATCGCTGCAAGTTCCCTGGTAGTGGCGTACGGATCCTCTTCCACGGTGGATTGCAGCAACTTCAAGTCTAACTCCATCGGCCGGCCGGACCTTGGAGCATCTTGGAGAGAAAAATCTCCTTTCTTGAACTTGGCCATCCAGGTCTTGCACGTGTCGTAAGAGATAGCGTCAGCGCCATATGTATCCACTATCTTGGCTTGGGCTTCCTAGATCAGGTGGGGCGGACGTCATGCGTTTCGACGACGACCGCTGGACCAAAGCAATCACCGACTGGATTCCACGGGATGTCAAGCGAACGCCTGGAAGACCGCCTACGCGATGGTCAGATTTCTTCGTGAAAGCTCTGAACGAATGGTATGAAGTTCATCGTGTCCCTCGAGCTGAGAGAGTTCATTGGGCAACTCTTGCACGTTGCAGGGACGAATGGAGACGTTACTGGCGCCCGCTCGAGGAACTCGATGATCAACGGGAGCACAGGTGATACTGGCTTGGCTTCCTTTGCGTTTAAGCCAGACTGATGAAGGAAAAGAAGACAGTGCCTCAGGTGCATCCTGTCGGGTTGAAACTTGGGCGGCATTTTGGAATCCAAATGCAAGCTGGGTGAGTGTGAGGTAGTGATGTGAAAGAGTCCTCTTGCGTGTTT